CAGACATGGTCAATTTAACTAATTACCTATGCGATAATTTGGGAGATTGTATACTTTAGCAGGTTTGTATTTCTAAAACAGTAGAAACGTCGGCAACAAAAACCAAAGCTAAAAATATAACCGCAAAAATCACCGATATTAATATTTTTATTTAAAAACCTATTATAATTTAATTAAATGTATATTACACTATTATACTACAATAATAATACAATTTAATATTGGCTCTCATCAAGGCATAAATCTAAGTCAAATTAGGTTCGTCTTTCATTGATGGCGATTTAAGCGTGATCTCATTTCGATCCAGAAACCGTGATTTATCGGCAGATTACTCCGTAAGTGACGCAAGCGACCACCCGCCCATGACTGCCGAGTGCCGACACTCCTTGATGATGTGAGCTACCTAATGCCTCATGGAGTGCGATACATTCTTTATAAACTACTATTTACATACCACGATACGATTGTTAGTTCGTGTTCTAGTAATTCACGACATTATATTATGTTAATTTAATAGTAACAAGTTAAACTTTTATTAAAAAAGTTTTAAAATGTTAACGCAAAGTACCTTTTTTTAAATAATTAAAAAGGAAACTCAGCTTTAAGGTTTGATACCTACAAATATAGAGCCCAAATCACTAAAAATAGAAACTTTGTCATACTATTAAAATTATTAGAGCGACAAATCGTTTTATGTAAAAGTACTCGGCACGACCTATTTTTATATATGCCAGTGCCAACTGAAAAATGCTGTCGTTGTAAACGTGATCCCGATCTCAATGTTCCCAATGTCAACATGGTTTAAGTGCGATTGAAACATAGCAGTAACAGCTATTTTTTATCTTAAAAATAGATCCTGAAATTTAAAAGAATCTATATTTTAGGAATAGTAGCCTCTTAGAAAAATTAAAGATCCTATAGTAAACAACATTTCTGTTGCTGCGTGAAAGAATATAAACCAGCTAACACATTTTTCATTTATAATATGAACGGCAGAGCCCTAGTAGAAGCAGTTGTAGTCCAGTGGTAACGCGCTCGCTTGGAAAACCAAGTGAAACGGATTCATACCTCGGGTCTCATCTATACTAATATTATAAAGAGGTAAAGTTTGTGAGTTTGTAACGTTGTAGGGAGTAATGTCTGGATTTTGAAATTTGGTAAGAAGATAGTTTGAGACCCTGGAAAGAACAAAGGATACTTTTTGTCCCGGAAATCATCCCTTAAGGGGGTGAAAATAGGAATGAAAGGTTGTATTGGGAAGCAAGCTAGGGACGAACCCGAGCGAAGCGAGGTTGAATTGCTAGTACCTGTGATATTTTCATATTCTAATCATTTTTTCACGCAATTAGCACTTACGATGCAGAACACATCGGTAGGGAACCTAAATTTTTGAGTAACACATAGTTATATTTTATAAAGACATGAGAAGTCCTGAACTCGCACTTAGCCAGCGTGATGGACTATGGCTTGATTCCCCTGGCTCTTAAGAGAATCCCTTGCCCCATGCTAAATATAATTTATGATATTACTAGGGACAGGAAGAATTATTATTATCACTGTGTAATTAGTGACTTTTAATTCGCGTAAGTATCGAGTTATTGTGATATAAATAAAATTCAGTACGCAATCGCTTTAAAGGATGTGTATTTCACTGGCGCTGTCACATACTACATTGAATATCATTAGAGAATCATGAATGAATAAATAATATCAAGAATGCTTTACGTTAAATATAACCCTGCTATAGTGAAGTATGCTATGCACCTTTCTGGTCTCATTTTGCCTTCTATATTTGTGTCTCTGTGTTTGATGCCTGGAAATTCACAATATTTTTTTTATAATACAAATTTAATCCCGGATATGATTAACGTTGTTAAAATAGGGCAACGTGTTTAAATAGGGCTGAAATGGTAGGTTATTATTCTACCCAGAAACGAAAACAGCGTGAAAATAATTAATAATATAAGTAAATATTTCTTCAAACTAAGTAGTATATTAGAAAAAAGTATTCGAATAGAATATATAAAATGTACCAACACATGTAACCCGAATACATACCAGCAATCAGTAAATCACTCAAATCAATAGATTTATTGCGTTCATTCATACCTCCGAGACAATTTGTAAATAAAGCTTGTAATTCACTTGAACATAGTAGAGCAAAAATATACAATATATATTGTGTTTATAAAATAACTTAAAACTTTTTTGTATTGGTTCTACAACAATTTAGTGCAATGTGTTCTATTTTACAATGAACTTACCGTCGTGCTACTTGTTATTGGTACGCTGTCATCTTAGAAAAAATATATATGACCAATAGAAACTATCGTCAATGGTAACTAACCCGTGACCGCAATTTTTGAAACAATGCCACGCTTATTGCAACTATGTTAGACAAATTTCTCATATATTTAATTATCCATGCTATATAAAGTTATTACTTAGTGGAACTTGTACCTAAGATAGCCCTTTGCGATCTTATCATATATTTTGTATTCAAAGCACCAGCTATCGGCGATATAAAGAACACGCGCGGCTGTGACGGAAATTATAATGGTTTATTATATGTGTAGCTTGACACGGATTTGTGGAGCCCTTTGTTGCTAATGATTTAATATTCCCTGTCTTAACGATCCGATGATGGCTACTTACCAGAATGTGAATTTGCGTGTACATATACGTAATTTGTTATGATAAGCTTCTGTTGTAAGTTGTAACACATAATATAAATAACTTGCATGCTTTGGTATTTCTATTTGTACAATAAATACATTTTATGAATGAATTAAACAGTTTTGACCTACGTTTATTAGAAAGTTTTTTTTCATTCTTTTTTTTCGTTCTTCTTCGTCTTTCTTCTTCAAGAATTCTCTACTTACAATTGTTTAACTTCCTAATATATATACAGAAAAAATATACTATACAATATGTAATACAAGTACTATGTGGCTAAAAAGATATTACAAATACATCCTTGTGCCCTACAACGAAAATTACTAATCCAAATCGACATTACATCTTACAATTACCATATGCGTTGGCTTAAGCTCAATAACAGTGCCTTATGGCCGCTAAAATTAAATACCATATTGCTCATGTCTCTCAGTTACATCTTCTGAAACGTAATATCAACTTTGTTTGATTGACGGAAGGTAAGCAGGAGCATACGTGAGCTAATTTGAGGTCTTTACTCCGGGTTTATTATTTGACAAAAAAATATTGTTTTAAATTATTAATCAGATCAAATATTTATTTTAGGAAGAAATATACAGACAAATAAATTTTAGTTTCATCTTGTATTTTTTCCTCATGAATTGCTTCCAAAACATCTTGTAAAAAAAATGTGCGGTTCTAGCCTATAACTCCTTTATTATAAGCATACCTAAATATAAAGTAAAAATAACTTTTATTGTTAGGTATAAGTATAAGTACCTACTTAAATAAGACCGTCATTTAACAAAATAGTTTAGCTTATAAATGTTTTTCTTTTTACTGTTCGTAATGAGAATTTGATATATTTTTTTAGCAATTACCTTTAATACATAACGAATCAAAACAAATTAAAAATCGGAATCCCAACCTATAGTATCATTAATTAGTCCACTAATAGACATATACTGAAACACTAGTGACTTACCCTTACTTTACTCGGGTGTGTAGGGACACACATAGGTGTCTTCCGAATTAATATTATTCTATACAAGTAGTGCCATCTTTTGAGTAATTTTATTACTAATAGTAGCCTATGTGTTGCTTCAGGTCCTGATCTAGATGTACTAAATTCATCGTTTGGGTAACCGTTTCAATGCGAAGGAGTAACAAACATACCTACTCACATATACCTCCATACATATAAACTTTCAAATTAACAATTAGTGTTTCGATTAACTACTCCGTTGGTAAACGTATATTAAAACATATAATACAAACAAAAACTATAAATAGAACGTAGTAAGAAAAACACAGTCTCAATATATTATGTAAATAGATTGTTTATATCAAACGTTCATCAGAAATAGATATATCGGAAGTGTGAATTAGGTCTACTCGCTCCAGATGGTGATGTGCTCGCATCCTTGTCATTATGCCATGCAATGCGGAATTCAATTAGTGCTTACATACGTTCAAACAGTTTGAATATGGCTGTGATTTAATTCGAAAGCTGTATTTTCTTAGTAGATGCACTTGATCCATAATGTCGATTAGGTAGGTATACCTACATTTTTTCTCAATCGTCTCAATCAGTCATAATATTGTCAATTTTCTGTTTATCATTCTACATATTCTAAAACTTTGTTTAAGTGTAAAAATAATGTATTAATAAATTTACTTAATATTCGATATATATAAAAAAAAACATTTTAGAAATATAAATATTGACTTTTAAATAAAATAAAGCGTTTCTCTATGTTAATAGCGACCAGATATTAACCTCATATGAGTATTTGCACGGTATATCCAAAACAACCAATAAAAATGTTTGGTTATTTGGTTATCTGTTTATATCTGGTAATTTTCTTGGCAGGTAAACCAATATTAACAGGACTGTCACTAAAGGATAAAGAATTCTGGTGAGAGTGGCATAGGCTATTTTTACTGTGGTACCTACACAAAAGTTAATTATTTTTTACAACTAAATATATACGCAGAAGCTTTATGGTATCGAATAAAAAGAAACAAACATTATGTGTAAGGAAAACTAAAAAAACAATAACTTTAAACGATATTATCAATAAGATTATCATATCACAATATAAGCGTATTGTAAAAATACAAAATTACCTATAAACAATTTACATATATTGGATCTTTGCTTACACGTATTGAGATATAATTTATATTATACAGCTAATAGCACAATATTACTTTTTAACTGCAAAAAACATCAAACTCATGTTCAAAGCAGAACAAAGACACATCTGCAAATATATGACAAGTACTGTAAATACAGCGTTAATTCATTGATACAAAAGCTATAAACTTCTCTTTTGTTACAGATTCATCTCGGTGTGCCTCAGAATACCACTAACATACGCACAAGTAGCGAGTACAGAGGTTGGCCTACCAGTAAGTAGTTGCAAACTATATTTCAATAAATACATAAGTTTGACAACACGTTTGGCTCAGTTTGTAGTGGCTGTAGTGACTCTACTTGCTGTGCCAGCGGACGGGGGTTCGAGTGCCGCTGAAGGCATTTATTTGTGTGATGAGCACGAATGTTTGCTCTAGTCATGGGTGTTTATATTTATAATATTAATATATTTAAAGTTATATATGTGTAGTGTATCAACTATCGGGTATCCATAAAACAAGCCTCGTAGCTTACCATGGAACTAGATGGTGCTGTGTGTTAATGTCCCAACATATTAATTATTATTAAATAAATAAGCTAATAAATAAAATGAAAAATCTTTGTGTGGAAAAGTCCAAAAAGTGTTGGAGAAATCAAGTAAAAGTATCAGTGGAAAGTAAATAAGTGCTAAACAGAGAAATTTTCGTTAATGTTTCTTACTCTCTGTCTTGAATCTTTTATTTTAAATAAAAAGTTAAGAAAATTTTTAAGTGACACTTTCCACAAATAATGTAAAAGATCTAATTGAAGACGTTTAAACATAAATCTTTTCATCGCTATTGAGCATTGAGCAACGTGATTTATCCAGCAGTATTTATATCGCGGCAGTCAAAACACATTTAATGGCATTGCATTTTAAATCGTTTATACAAAGGGCTACCAAATTTGAAATTAATAAGATTGAGAAACGTTTGCCCTTCGTTGGCTCGTTAATGTTACTTTGTGTCCCATTTTCCTAATGTCGCTTGTTTGATTTGCTAAGCGGAATGTTTAACTTACGTCAATGATCAATCAGTACGCCCAATCAATGGACAATCATGAATGATGATAGGTTTTTATATGACCGTCTTGGTATGCTATTGTTTTAAATTAGTTATTTGGCCATAATTATTTGCTCTAAATACAACGTATACTACGTTTTATTGCAAGTCAAACAATGAGTGAATCAAAACTAGTTGAAAGATTTAAAAGAAAATCCCGAGCATTTTATATAATAGTGCCTTGTTTTTATAAATAAACAATAATTATTAAATGACACTCTTATATTTAGTAAAATTAAATATAATAATTTTATATCAATGATAAAAATATTTATAAGTATATTATTTATTTTATAACTTAACTAAAGTTTTTTTCTCTGCAAACGTATTATATAAATAATCCAATTAGTCAAAATATTTTCCTCAATTTAGAAATTTATTATTTGATATTTAGATTTTTATAACTATTTTCTTAATGAATCGGCAATACAGTATTATACAAAAAATCTATCCCTTATGATAGAATAATAACTTATAAAGTAATTTTAAACTGAATTCACTTATTTATTAAACAAATAATTATTTCCTATATTTAACAAATGTACTGGCAAACATTCCAGCTGCCTCACTCGCCGCAACGAACGAACGCGTCGTCGTACGCGTGGAGCGCATGGGGCGCGTGGAGCGCGTGCTCGCGGTCCTGCGGCGGCGGCGTGGCCGTGCAGGAGAGACACTGCCTACCGAGGGACCCGACTAGGTGATCAACTACTTATATTTTAAATAAAACTATCTTTTCGGATTATTTCGCGGATTTATTTTGATTTCTGGTTCCCGACGTTTCGAATGCTTTACAGCACATTTTTTTCATGGTCACGGAAGAGACTGAAGACTGCTGAAGACTGAAGTACCTACTTACAATTAATTATCCTATTATCCTATTTATATAAATACTATCCATACTCCTACTTTCTTATCCTATCCTACTGTTTTATTAATGCTAGTGATCATCCCTTTGCTCTGGTTCATCTCTGGGTACCTAAAATTATATGTTACTCCAGGTCCCTCAAGCCGTATCCGCGTAAAGAAACACACACATACAAACTTTCGCATTTACGTATAATAGTATATAGTCATATGAAAGAACGATTAGGTACTCGTGAACCTATGAATGGATTTTTATGATACACGATACCCAGATAAAGTATTCCCTGAACAATTACAGACTACACTTCTTATCATAGGAATTATAGTTATCATAAGATAGTAACTAATTTTTAAAGTTATACTCGTATGTAGAACATCTTAGTCCTAAGCTAATAGATGACGTTTAAATATTAAAAAAAACTTGTTTCACGTAGAGTATCTGCGGGCAAATGCGTATAATCAAAAAACGGTTGACTATAATAGCACTTCCCATCACACCGATGATGGGGGGATCATAAAGATTTATATTATCCTCACATATAGGTATCTTACGCTCTGACAAAATACGCACAAAATTAGAAACGGCAAATTATATTTGCTCTATATTCGTACGGAAAACTGAAACCGAGCATAAAAATATACAATATTTTTACTATACTTAAAGAAACAAGTTTATGTGCTGTAAGACTTTAGTAATAGTAGCGATTGTACCTATAAATGAGTTATTTTGACTTGCCTAAAACCTGCAAACATATATTTGATGAAAATAAACACACTATAAAGTTTATACTAAAAATACAAGCGTCAAAACTAATGAATTAAATTAATTCCCTTATAAATCCTATCAAAAAGTACTAAAAAGATAATCATGTAATGAACGATAATAATCTGACAAGGAAACAACCAATTAACTATCTGTAACACTCATCCTAACAGATACTAAAATCGATAAAATTAAAATAATATATGTCTCTAGCCCTCTAAAAACGAAATTCGTGTTTGACACAGGAAAACAAACAAGTCAACGCTTGAAGAAGATTAATGATTTTTCTTTTACTTCTTCTATTGTTCGTGGTCTATCTATGTAATTGTTTTATTAGGGCCGCTATTTTAAATAAGTTGTAAAAATTATATTTCATCATCTTACCAAACCCTAACTTCTTGCTAATATTATTAAAAAAAAATTACGAAAGTGTTTTAAATAAAACTCTTGGATTTTATTTAGATTTTTTGTTCTTGACTTTTCAAATGCTTTACAGCGATATGATCAAAGGAGAGACTAAGATTGTTGACATATCAAAAGTTATAGTTCCTACAGACGATATCTGCTCACAAAATATATTCAACAATTTTGAAGAAAACAGAAGTGACGCCGAAATACCTTACATTTTAAAAATAAATCTCATATATTACGAAAGCGTGTTTATTACCTTGTCTGTTTTTTACGCAGCAACGAGTTAGTTAGATTTTTGCATAAAGATAGATAGACAAAAGAATGCCATTAAATATTTTTTATGTCTTTGCACAAATTGATTTCTACTGAATTTCAAATATGTCCTACAAAACATTGGAAACGTCAGGAATAGAAAATCATAATAAAACCATTAAGAATCCTAAGAAATATATAAATTTAAAATGTCAAATACTCGCTTAAATCAACGACATATATTTTTATTTTATTAAAATAATATTTACTTCTTGCCAAAATACTAATATTAGTTTTTATGTTTTATTATTATTATTTTACAATATTCTTTAATTTTAATTAATGGACTATGGTCATAATAAAAAGTTTGATTAAGTCAGCTAAAAGCTAGCTTTAAAAGGCTTATTTCAAAAGCTTACAGTATTCTCGTAGCCAGCCCTGCTGCGATGTGGCGCATTGATCATAGATCACAATGACATCTAATGATACGGCGCGTAATCATAAAAGGATCTGCCCACCGCGGGAGAGCCTTCCACACTGAACATATTTTGTTACTTATGATTCTCGAATCATTTTGTCGATTAATATTATGAGTCGTATTTTTTCACATTTCATGCATCATTTTAGTTAGAAAGAAAGTTAATTTAGAATAAAATATATCGAAAAAATAAAATAAAAATAAAGAGATATTGCCCAAAGAAGTGACGAATTAAATTGCTGCCATATAAGCCAAAATTGCTATGATTGTTTTAAAAAATGTATATTTACTATTTTTAATTATAAAATTATGATTTTATTATAATTTTTTTTATTATGATTTAAACATATATTGTAATAATGCTCTTTAGCGTCTTTTTTGTTTCAGTACTCGAAATTTTAGATGAAACTATTTCGATAATAGAAAATGTGGTAGGGGCGATACGAGGATTCACTGTGCCGCCTTTGTGTCAGTGATATCATAATTTACTCGCTATCATCCACATCCGCGCTACATTATAAAAAATATTATCTACTAATTGAGTGTTTGGTTTTCTATTAAACGTAACAAAATAAAACGGTAGAGCAAACGACGCATTGAAATTTTTTATCCTTTCATCACACTAAATATTTTTTAGTTAAATTTAATATAGTTATAGGGTTAATTTAACTAATGAATTTGAATTTAAAAGATTAAGAAATAAATACCTAAGTTATTATATTTATTTTGGAATAGTAAATTAAAAAAAAATAAAGCTCCTACATAGTACTAAAACAAAAGTGTATTATAAAATTTACTACGTCATCAGTATCTTCTTTAAGAATCATATTTCAATGTGATCTTTTCCTCACAGTTGGAAATAGTAGTATTGTCGATCGAAGGTTTATTATTTTATAAGGTAATATTATTTTGGTTAAATTTTAACTAACTATACATGGACTTAATTTAAATAAAGAATTTGAATTTTAAAGATAAAGGAATACTTATAATAAAAAACCTAAGATATTATATTTATTCTGGAAAAGTAATAAAAAAAATACAAATGTATATTATAAAATTTATTACTTTATCAGCAAAGTAATCTTCTTTAAGAATCTCTCGCAATCATAATATTTATTGCTAGACTATAACTTTTTATTATGTTATGACAGCAACATTGAACATCTAAGTAACAAAACATAAATTCTTCTGCGTACATCGATTGTTGCCTAGTTCCCTACATTTATCTGGGAACCAATAATCATTAAAGTGGTTTCGCCATCAAAACCAATCATTGCAAGTCAAAGGCTACATACAGTATGACCCTGACCGCCCTTTTTACGTCCAACATACCAAATTAAGGTAATATTGTAGAAAGACGGAACAAGTTATATATGAAGCTTGTGCCTAACAAGTATTTTCGACAAGGCTTTTGATTGACGCACAATAATTTAAGGCCCTTTCGCTAATGTATGATTGTTATCTCATTGTTTGCGCCGGTTTTCGATTTCTATATGAATGTTGTGGGATCATTAGAGATTGCGCTGAGTCAGTGTATATCGTTGTAAATCTAGCTGTGAGTTAGTTAACAATGCTAGACATGACCTAGTAATTAAAGCTACAAGCTCGAATACTCAAGTTTCTACTCTGGATGATAGGTTATATCTTTACACTACGTTTATATTCAAGAGATTGACACAGAAGATACACTACTAGCGACTCACCCTCGTTCGTCCCTACTTACGGTTTAACGTTTACTATTGATTTCTCAAAGATGAGATATTTTCCCGAAGTAAAAAATGTCCTATGTGTTGACCCGGATAACCAGCTATCATCATACCAAATTTCATCATAATCCCTACAGTGGTTTTTCTGTGATTCGGTAACAGACAGACAGACCAAACATTCTAAAAACTGTACATTCGGCTTTTGTATCGATAATATGTATGTATGTCTATTTCAATAAGATTTTCCAAAAAAATAATTAATGTACAGATTCGGCTTAGTTAAAATGTTATTATATGTATAGATTTTTTATTACTACCTACTAGAAATTCAGATTTGGAACGCAATTTTTTTCGATTTATTTCATAAAAGGGCTAAAATCAAGATAAATAAATATGTTGAGACATTAACACACAGCGCCATCTAGTTCCATGGTAAGCTACGAGGCTTGTATTATGGATACCAGATAGTTGATACACTACATATATATAACTTTTAAATACATACATATTATAAATATAAACAACCATGACTGGAGTACAAACCTTTCGTGCTCATCACACAAATGAATGCCCCCAGCGGGACTCGAACCCGCGACCGCTGGCACAGCAAGTAGGGTCAATACAAACTGAGCCAATCATGTCGTCAAATAAAATATAATACTAATAATTCGGTACCAAATGTATAATTTTATATAATGGTTGGATTTTCTTTTATAACACCATAACTAGCCATAGACAGTAGTTTTCGTTGTACACTGGATACCTCACATTGATATATTTATATTACCTAATACTTTATGAGTAGTACCAAATCTTTTGATGGTTATTTAACGACGTTCCCCATGAAACTACGTCATTTGAGTTTATATAATGCGTGTAAAATCACGCATAAACCATCGAAACTGTATATTATTCCTTTGATCGCGTCAATGAGGATATAAAATTAGATTCCAAGATTGTAAGAGATATTTTTAATTTATTGTATTATTTCAACTGGTTTTATAGGGAAAAATAACCGATATGGCTTAGGCATATAGTGTTGGGATAAAGTTTAGTAGTTCAAGAGGTTATACCAAAAAAAGCAAAATATTTTCTTACTATAGCGTTAATAGAAATTGTGGGATAAGTTATGGTCCGAACAATACCTAAGTTTATTTTACATCCCAACACATAAAACGGTTCCCATAGGTAACTAGCTTCTATAAAAATATATTTATGTGATAGCTAGTATTTAATACAGGAATAGAGTAGATAGGGCAAGAGAGAATCAAACCCGCAATCTCTGTCGCGTTAGTTTAATCTGTTTAAGAGCGGTACACATATACCTTAGTATTAGAAAAAGAAAAGAAAGTATATTCATTATTATTAATTTTTACTTTTCGTATAGCGACTTGTACCATCGTATCTACTATTGTCCAGTACAAAGCGATTACTGTAGGCGTCTAGTCAGTGATACTCGTATTAATTTCGTAATCGTAATATTAATTACGACACGAAGTTGGCGCCCTGCCGTGGCTTTGCTGATGAGCTGAAACAATGCTTCGAAGGTTTCTAATATTATATTGGACAATGGTAAAGAAAAGTCGTAATTAAGCTATATATTATACAAGCGTTACCCGCGGCTCTACTCGCGCATTTTATTTATGTGTAATCAAAATTATCCATCTTTATGTCTTTAACAATAAAAACATAGGATTTTAATAACTTACGATAGCTTTTACAGTCTGTTAATTTGGACCTAATATAAATCCATAGTTAGCTAATGTCTTCTTCTTATAAGCTAGTACTTGCTTTTGGACAAGTGGTTTTCGAGATTTCGCGTTTAATCATAAAGATTAATAAATTCATTTTATATTTTTCTAATATCCATGCGAATATACAAATATTATGTTTATAGATAAGTATGTTGGAGTAACTTTTTTCTTTCCTGCTATAGTTTAATATTGTTTTCATTAAATGTGCCATATTTTAGCTTAGTTAATATACTCATTTTTTAATATATGTTTTTAATATAAGTAATTGAATTACATATCAAATACATATATTATTTATAATAATATACTAGCGACTCACCCTCGCTTCGCTCGGGTTTGTCCGTTTTAATTGTTTTGAGCGGAACCCTTAATCTTTTTCTAAAATAAAAGTAGCCTATGTTACTCCCTATAACATCACCTATCTTCCAGTGAAAGTCCCAATAAAATCTGTCAAGCCGTTTCAGAGATTATCCGGAACAAACAGATAGACAGACAAAAAAATTAATAATTGTGTTTTTTTATAAGTATCGTATATAATACGCATGTCAAATGCATTTAATAAAACGCTGTTATTTTGACATTACAAACAGACACTTCAATTTTATTTATCTGTATAGATCTAGGTAAGTTCGGTTATTCTAAAATTGCAATAAGCAAAAAACAATAATATATTCTCCTATGTTAATCATAGTTTCATAAAATACAACTAACAGTTAATATAATATTTATATAAATAATCTAAATTAACATAAATAAATATTAGCATTGTAGAACATCTATACAAACACATTACCGCACGCCTGTACACAAGGGACCCATTTCCATATGTAATGTTTCGTTCATTAACATACGTTTGTACCTTATAAGGGTGCTCGAGAACAATTTAAATTAAAATTTCAAACGCAATGATGACCGTGACTTGTACTTAACGTCGAAAATAATGATACTCAATATATTAATAAACAATTCTTTAATTTGTAGCGCTTGATGAATTTTTTTATAACTTCTAATGTATAATTTTATATAAATTTAAGTATTTTTTAATCTAAATATCATCATAATGAACTATTTAAAAGTTTACGTTTTTAAATAATTAAACTTAAACCTTAAACAGATCACTATGTTATAAATTAACTTACTTTTACTTTAAAACCTAGAAACAATGATAAGAAGTTTCGGCTACATTTAACTAAGCCGTGACATCATTATACACCCGCATTTGACAATAAAAATAAAGCCTACGCATAAATTCTTTCCACATTCTTCTTTTGTTTTATGTCGAATGTATTTTAATATATTTCCATAATTAAATGGTCGAACTAAGAATCGTATTTGGTGATATTTTGGTATTACCTGAAAATTATACCTTCTTAAACTTAATTAAACTAACTGTTGGTAAGTGCGTGGTGTTTAACTTATTTTATTTCAATACCATTTTAAACATATATTTATTATGTGGTTTATCAACAAAAAGCTAAGGTTCGATTCGTATCGAACTCGCGTAAAGGAGATTAAGATGAATCTTTGTATGTGGTATGTATTTGTAAATAATAATTTAATAACATTTTTAACTTTCAGATGGCGCCGCAGCAGGAAAAGAAGAAAACTCGTAAGAAGCACAGATCGCATAAGGAAAGCTCGCAATACTAACATCAGTTTGCCAGATTGTCCTGGACTGGCGCGGCGCTACCACGAGTGTAATACTACTGTACGTACAATTTTAATATAGTCGTTAATTTCTCTCTGAACATCTAAAATACTAAAGTATTGGGTATTTAATTACTTTCTAAAATATTGCAGCTAGAATGACTGGCGAATAAAATATAATTGCAAATTTATCAACATTATTTCCGTTCACGTTGTCTTTTCAACTAAATTTGGCAACCTCGATTTAACTTAAAAAAGGAATGGTTAGGATTTTCTTTCGGAATGAGATAAAAGAGAAATAAAAAAAATCAGAGACCTATATTGTATTAATGAAGCATAATTGATTTCTTTTAAATGTAGTTAAACATTGTTTTTTTAAACGTATTGTAAAAATACACACAAAGCGGCAGTAATAATTATATTGATCATGGAGACCTTTTTATTTGAAATAGAGGAAATTAGTTTAATATTTGGTTAATAGTTAATACATTCATCTTTATACTGTTATATAGCCTCAAAGATACATGATAGTTATTTTATAAAAACAATATCAAAATATTTTATTCAGCATTAAATTATTACAATTCTTTACTGAACGTCATGAGTCTACTATGTATAGATTATGTTTATTTTGTTAAGAATAAATTTAATTAAAAATATAATTAAATTTAATTAAAATATTTATTATCACTACAGCCGTGTCCTGGTCCAGCGCGAGACTCACGAGCCGAGCAATGCGCAATGTACGACCGCAGACCATTTCGAGGAAGATTCTATACTTGGGTGCCGTACGTGGACGGTAAGATTAAGTGATTTAGCAATATTTATTTTAATATTTTTCTCTCTGTTTTAAGCTTATATTATGACTAGCGATTCTCCCTCGCTTTGCTCGGGTTCGTCCCTAGTTTGATTCCCCATACAAACTTACATCCTCATTTTCACTCCTTTAAAGAATGATTTCCGGAATAAAAAGTATTCTATATCCTTCCCAGGATCTCAAACTATCTTCTTGGCAAATTTCATCTAAATCGGTTCAGTAGATCCAGAGATTACCCCCCACATCGTCACAAACTCACAAACTTTACCTCTTTATAATATTAATATAGATTATATATGTGTGTTATATGGTGGTATCTAAATCTATTTTTTTCTAAGCTAGATCGAATTAAGCATTTACTACACTCCGATAGACATACTTATAGGTAAAAAAATAGCTAATGATTTCAACCCGTAAATCTCACCTCTCTGCTTGTAAAAATTAATGAAATAATTAAATAAAACATATTAGGAATATTACGATCATATATTTATAGAATAACATTTCAGGAAAGAATATAATATTATATATCATTTGTCAAATAATAACAACGATTACCATGGTAACAAACAGTTATCAGCTTACTTCATCATGTCGCTTTTTGGCTGTCGGTGTGCGCGCGCATCCTAAAAATTTTACTCATATTTTTTCCTAGCGTGCCAAAAGAAGTACAAGTTCAAAAATAATATAAGTTAATTATATTCCGCTACAATATAATTATTAATACCTGTGGATAATTAATTGAACCTTTCTATGGAAGTCAAATCTCCACTGACACACAATAAGATGGGTGAGCACTTAGTAGACTAAAAACTATGAGTTGATTTGTTATAGAGAGCAAAGTTAAATCTATTCTCGATTATTTAATGAAATAAAAATCTGGCATATCAGTCAATAATCCAGGAAATTTTGTAATGGTCTATTAAACTTCTTAAAAGTGTTAAAACGCGCTATGAACGTTAAGATCGCCTGATACCTATACTTATTTACATTAAACGTAACTACTTATTTAGGTAACGCGCCTTGCATCCTCAACTGTCGACCTCGAGGGCAGCAGTTCTACGCCTCACTAGCACTGGTGTCTGACGGTACTCCGTGTACAAAACCTGGTTTTCGAGCCATATGCGTACAAGGTTCTTGTAAGGTAAGTGCCCTTATAAAAAGGTTTATTCGTATCTTTTATAAATATTTAATTTCATTTTAAACGTTGTTAATACCAAATCAAATCCAATCAAAATATATTTTATTCAAATAGACTTTTACAAGCACTTTTGACAATGTCACACATTGATACTCATTCAAATCTAGTGAAAGTAGCGCCATCTACCGACGACTAGCAAGTACGAAAACTAACTACCTCGTAGAAGCAACATCTTTATTAATATCTCTAGTCTCAAGAATTTGAAAATCTAAAATGAATGATATCACGCTATTGGTTTAAAACTTTAGAAAATAGATGAACATATTGAAATAGCTAAATATTTTTCAATAGATATGTTCAATAGGGTTATTTTATTTCAGTAAGAAAAATTTAGGGAAGTACGAGTAGGTACACTTCAATATATATGTTTTACTAGCATTGCCCGCGACTCCGCCCGCGTTCAAATGACCGAAAACCAAATTCTTAGGTTTTACATATTAGTATACTCTTACATTGCAGTTTTTGTATTTTTTCTCAGAAATGAGACATTTTCCCGCGGTAAAAGTATCCTATATATTGACCCGCATAACCAGCTATCACTACACTAAATTTCATTAAAATCCCTCAAGTGGTTTTTCTGTGATGCGGTAACAGACAGACAGACAAATATTCTAAAAACTATAGATTCGGCATCTGTATCGATAATAATGCTAATTTCAATAAGATTTTCCAAAAAATATTTATGATTGATTTGTTCCAATGTAATTTTTCTCTATTGCTGGACATCAGAAGTCATTTCTTTTTCATAAATTCCGTAAAATATCTAAGTAAAAGATCTATCTAAGATTTCTCATAATCGTAACTTATTATACTCATTGCATACATTATTGGCTAACTAGCGGTAATTTAAATACTACTTTCCAAACAACTTCTGTATTAGTACTCAATAATTAGTCTCTTATCAAGACAGTGCCGATCACTTAATTCAGTAACATATAAATTATATGAAACAACATATTATTATTTACGATTTCACTAACTTTAATAAGCATATCTAACAGATCTCTTGACGATCATAAATATAAGGTTATTTATATATCATATTCTTTGGACAAAAGTTTAACTATAATTTTTTTATGATAATATTATATTTCTACGAAATTGTAACTTTACCACTTTGGGCCAGGAAACATACATATGTTTTAGCTAACGACAGTCAACGTGGCACTTAGTCACAATCTTTACATAGTATAAAATTATGTCGCTTCCGCTGTCTGTTCGCTTAGATCTTTTAAACTACTCAACTTAAAGGTTTATGTATACATAAATTATAAATATAATACATACATATTATAGTATAGAAAAGACGAGAATTTCAAAGATTTGTATTAATAATAAAAAGAGAGAAGTAATAAAAAATGTTGTTTCAATATATTTGATATAATATGTAATATACGTAGGTATTTTGGATGTTTCATACACAATTACTTAGACTTTATCAACAACACTAAGTAAAATTTAGGTTTTAAATATCAAAAAAACTTAACTTATCCTATCTTGTTAACTGAGTACCTACTTATGTGGCGACAATTGTATATTTCCACTTTGTTTTTATGTTGTTATCATGTAAGCGACTTTGTCTTTTTTGAGAATAATTTCTTTAAACTATTATTACCTCTATTAGCATAACTTTAAATTGACAATCGATCCATACATATCTAAATCTGTATTCATCTTTAACTCTACTTAACACTGCGTCAGTCCTGTTTGATAAATTGAAAAAGAATCATTTACTCTTGTTTGAAATCATCAAAATATGTCAAAATATGTAGTAACTTTCAATTATGTATAGTATATCTAGACAGAAAGTTGTATAAATTCTAGATAGTTAAATGATGAATATTAATCATCCATCCATATACATAGGTGTATAAAATCAATTAATTTTTAGTACAAATATATTATATTGTAATACACAACAAAAAAGATAACAATAGTCTACATATATAATATTATATTTTAATACATTATAAACTCATACAATGTACTGCAATCTACGATGTAACCATTGTATTCTTATCTTAACTAAATATTAAATAATTTTCCTTACCTCAGATCTGATTTGCAAAGCTAGGCGTGACTAGTTGTCTGTATTTCTGTACGGCAGAGCATTGCCTACAGCTATTCATCGTGTGAGACCCACAATTTATGCTATTGATAAGTTGAAATATATACTGCCTTCACAGAAAGCGGTTTAGGCTTTTGTTCTTAACTTTGTCGGTATTACTCGCCACTATATCTTACTTATAGTAGACGCTTGTCACATCGCATGGAAAGTGCTTAATATATCAGGACACAAAGTTACACTTATTATTTCTATGCAAAAATCACTTCGATTCATTGTATTGTAGTGTGAAGGAAGAAGAAATGAACTAACATACTTTCACTTTTATAATATTATATAGTAGGAATTTAAAAATAAGTGTAAGGACTGGAGTCCGACTTTTCGACGGACTTTTTCATGTGTTCGATTTGCACTAAGGCTTAGGCATAATACGAGTACAGACAGTATCGTAGAACTAAACATGACGCCAAACAATAGTGTTTCAAAATAATATATATTTTAAAACAGTATACAAATATGATAATAATGATTAGAATAGTCATTACCGTGATAATTAAATAAATGATAATAAATATTTAATTTACATGGAGAGTGTCATAGGTTACTCTTTATCCCAGTACATTAGATCTTTAAGTAGTTTACATAGGATATTATTATATTAAAATATAAAGTAACAGAAAACGTGGGTATAATCAGGGCGTATGTAAAGCACCGGAAGTTCGCTAGGTGAACGCCTTGGCTTGTTTTGTCGCAGTACTATATATTTTTACAGACTTTGTTTTAGACGCCCAGGTATTTATATGGAGATCGTATGTTTTATTGGTAAAGGCTACTCATAAATCAACTGCGCGGGAAATACTAGTTGCTTGTAGCAACTCCACTTATTTTGTTAATCACATCACGTGCTCTACGATATCAGTGGTTTCCTGCATCACCTTCGAAACCAGAGTGCGACGTGTTTACAGATTTTCCTTTAGTGTTTTACGGATTAGATTATTTTATACACTCTCAGTTAGTTTATATTCGTGAGTAACGAACTGTTAACATTGGATTTAAATGATTACTGTACAGAATTTATTTTTCTTTGCTTCAAATTTGTATATTATGTTAACGAAAGAATTATTTACATAAATTGATTTTACTCACGTTTATTTTTAATCTTGGATTTATTTGAAGTTGAAAAATTGTGGATAGTTTTAGACTAAAACTTTATGACATTGTTGCTTTGGATTGAAGGATTCATAAATATGCAAACACATAAAACTATATAGAAAATAATTCTTATTGAATAGAAATATAAAATTATAGCTATTTAGATACCTATTTAGATAATTATTATTTTAATATTGCATTTAGGATTTTATTATCTCGCTTAATCTCATACATCATGTGATAATCCTGGAACATGATTGTAACGAAAATAAAATTCATAGTACAAACTGGGAGGAGTAACTCTAAAATCAATATAGGTACTTATATCCTTGTATTTCCATATACAGTGTGTTATATGACTGATTGAACAAAGGACCTTAATATCTATCGATTTTAACCCCTATTGTTCAGCGATTTTTAGTGGTTCCAAACTTTTAAGAAAATAAAATGAAAACCGTATGATAGACTAAACTCCGCAAGTATCACCGATGTATATGTAGGTAGTGGGGCCTTAACCTCCCGCTAGCTTTGATCCGTCGGTCATTTTACACGCTATATACTTATTCCTTCTTTCATACATAACTGTACAGCACTTACAATAAATCATATTACGATGTAAAGAGACACGCACCCTTATTTTATTATAAAATGAACTGCATTATCGCCACGAGCTGTAACGGTACAATAGATCAGTTGCAGTATTTGACAGTAATTGTTAAGGATTGCTTTAGATCCTTAACCATTCAATATTGACCTCCCATTCCTCAAATAACTTGAAGGCCCGCAATAAATCCTAGAGTTCTAGAGCACTGGAGCCGCTAATATGACGATTTATTTTGAACCAACTTCTCGTTTGTATGTGTTTATTTATTGCTACGTTGTATTGTCACTTCACTCTAGAAATGCATTGTGAAGTAAAACTATTTGTAGAATAGCGAACAATGAAAGTATTGACATTTTATTTAGAATTTATTTTAGTATATATTTTGCTTACGTAATTGGCAGCTTAAAATTATACGGAGGTTTTATTCTATTTTAGAGGCTAATGCTTATCAATGTTCGTAGTTTCACATGAATATAAGTCTATAACAGAAAGTTAAGTACTGAGAGAAGTGAGGGTGAGTGACTAGTGCATAAATAAAGCAGATGATAGTGAATTTCACACAGACAACATTCCTTGTGCGGTAATAGGCCGCAGATGGGCTATCTCCGCTCGTTGCCCGCTTGACTCACTGAGCCTAGATAAATAGCCCGAGCGACAACCGTTAGAAAACTTATAGGCTTACATAAAGTGCATGGTCAAGTGTAAAATAAGGCTATTATCATAAATAAAAGCCTAATGGCTACTATATTATTTGTCACTAGTTTAGTTATAATATTAACAAGTGGGCATGTTTATTTCCCCTGGATTTTGGTGTAAACTAAAACCTTGAAACTGACATTGTACATGCACTTATTCATATTCTTGGTCTCTTTTAGAGATAATAAATTTTATGCTAATATTTCTTTAATATGTGCATTTCACTTAGTAGTCTACGATTTCGTCTGATCTGGACCATTTGTTAATTATTAAAATTCTATGTTTCATTTGTTACGACTAACTACTTGCTATATGAGTCTAAAACGTGAATGGTATTTATTTGTTATTATGTTGCCGTATCTTTTGTATTCAAGCAATACTAAGCCAACAAAAAGTGCAAGTAAACTGTAGGTAATTAATTTTTTT